CCCCCTCAACCCCCTCATTTCGTCAGGCTGATACATTTCCTTGATATGTATTTATCTTGTTGTCCATCTGTGTGTCGCTCTGTGTCAGTTCGGTTACCTCGCCGTGAACGCAAACGCCTGTACTGTGATGGCCCCAGCCACTTGAGTCTCCGCCGCTAAGTGTCATCAGGGACCCTTGATGTCGTGACAAGTGCGTGCGGTTTTTCCCTCGAACGCCGCCTCAATGTCTCCATCTCAAATTAAACTACTGTCTTTGGCTTTTACTACGGGTCGTACAACTAAAGAATTAGACTAAAAATACTCGTATAAAATCATTGTGTTAGAAGAGCTATAAATCTTTTGCTAACACTAATCAACTAAAGAAGGGGTCATTACTGATGTCTGTTGGTGATTGGCGGGTGCTCTGGTGTGGTTTGCTCCTTCTTTCCTATCAAACATCTATCGTCCTTTCCTCCCCTCCTTTTATTTTGTATCTGTTACTCTCTTGTAACACTTCTAATCTTCGCCACTTTATATGACTTTATTGTGTTGCAAATGCCGTAAAACTCATACTAAGACAAACTTCATCTGAAACTACTACATGACATGTTCCTGTCATTACTGGTGTCTGGGGGTGGTTGACGGGTGCTCTGGTGTGATTTGCTCCTTCTTTCCTATCAAACATCTATCGTCCTTTCCTCCCCTCCTTCTATTTTGTATCTGTTACTCTCTTGTAACACCTCTAATCTTCGCCACTTTATATGACTTTATTGTGTTGCAAATGCCGTAAAACTCATACTAAGACAAACCTCATCTGAAACTACTACATGTTCCTGTCATTACTGGTGTCTGGGGGTGGTTGACGGGTGCTCTGGTGTGGTTTGCTCCTTCTTTCCTATCAAACATCTGTCATTCTTATCTCCCCTCCTCGTTCAATGTGTTTGTTACTCTCTTGTAATTCATTTAATCTTCGGCCCTTACATGACTTCATCGTGTTGCAAGTGTCGTATAACGGTTACTACAACAAAGAATCACTTTTCCCGGTCGCAAGCGGAAGACCTGAGTTCGATTTCTGTGTTGAGATACGTTTTAAAATGAGAATCACGGTCTGTCTGCTGGGATGCTGTATTCCTCTCAGCTCGGATCCCTCTCGGCATGGCCTTGACGGGCAGCGTTGAAACCTGACTCCCAAATAATCTGAATTGTGTCAGTGGGGCGTAAAGATATCTACATTAAAACAGAAGGGTCATTGTTGTGATGCTTTTCTTTCTGTCTGCTGCTTCTGTATGTCTGTCGCTTGTCCAGCACTGAATGACCGTTATTGTGCCTTTGTGTCGTGGTTCTCTTTACACACACCATCACACACACCATCACACACACACACACACACACACACACACACACACACACACACACACACAC